AAGTCAAAAATTAGCCGGGCGTGGTAGTGTGTGCCTGTAGTTCCAGCTACTTGGAAGGCGGAGGCGGAAGGATTGCCGGAGCCCAGCAGGTCGAGGCTGCGGTGGCCATGAGCATGCCACTGCACTCCAGCCTAGGTGACAGAGTGAGACTCCGACACACATACACACACACAAAAAGAAAATTTCTCAAGTATATAATACACAGAAGAACACAACTAACGTCCAGGTATCCATAGCAGCTTCAGCCAACTGTCAATTGGCGACCAATCTTGTTTCACCTCTACCCACCCTCCCTCCACCTGTGTAAGGAGCACCAGGCCAGATCACCAGCTCCGTACTTGAAACAGCCGTGGCAGCGCAGGATGTAGCTCCGGGCCTCGTGGATCAACATGCCATTCACTGCCAGCACGTGCAGCCCCATCTGCAGCAGAACATTCTACAACCGAAGAAATGAACACTAATTCCTGGAACACTAATTTTGTAGTCACAGTTAAGGGAGCTTCATAAACCCTGGGTAGCCCATAATCCTTGGTTTCTGCTAAAAAAGGCAGCATGGGATGCCTCTTGAGACATGTCAACAAGCAAAAGACCCAGGTGTCTCTGTAACCCCAAGTCCTGGAGCCTGTACTTGTCATTTTACCACAGCTCATCATCAGCGAGATCTCTCAACAGTTATTTTGTCATGAGCAAACATACTCCTTTCTGGGCTGGAACCCTCTCAACCTTCTCTAAGTACCTGACTGAACACAGAGCATTATATACATGGAAAGAAAACCTTCAACAGATCACAAATAGTAAACATTAAATATTTACTACACTATACAAATTTTGTCTAATCACTAAGCAAAGCAAAAAATCCCCAAAGAGCATGGTAGTTTCTACAACCAGGAAAAGCAGCATCGTGCAAAAGCAGCTCTGTGCTTTGCATGGTGACACACGCCTGTAACCCTAGCATTTTGGGGAGCGGTGGCGAGAGGAGTGCCTGAGCCTAGGGGTTCAAGACTAGCCTGGGCAACTTGATGAGACCTCATCTCTACAATAAATCAAGAAAAATTAGCTGGGTGTGGTGGTGTATGCTTGTAATTCCAACTATCTGGAAGGCTGAGGTGGAAGGATCGCCTGAGTCCAGCAGATTGAGGTTGTGGTGGCTGTGAGCGTGCCTCTGCACTCCAGTCTGGGTGACAGAGTGAGACTCCGACTCAAAAAAAAAAAAAAGGAAGAAAGGCAGTTTCATGTACATCCCTCAACTACATAGGGCCACTGCTGATGATGGGCATGACGCAAACCCAGGGCCAGCCCATGGCCACCCCAACCCACCTGCATGGCAAAGTCCGTGGTCACACAGCCAACACGCACGTCTCTTGGGATGTCGCCCTGCTCCAGCTCCTGCTGGATTCGTTTGATGTTGCTGGGGGTTATCCACCCACCTCCGTCATCCTCACTGTCTTCGTCTCTTCTTTCTTCAAACCCATTATCTCCCTCTTCCTCCTCCTCACCGGCATCAATCTGTAACATCAACAGAATTTCACAAACTCCCAGTCCACCAGTGGGGAGAAGCAGCTGTGCTGTCATCAGATCACAGTCAGGCCTTACCAGCAGCTCCTGGAGCTCACGGTCAATATTAGGCAGAGGGTTTCTCCAGAATATGAAGGAACTGAATTCTAGGTTCTCAGGTTCATTCTCAGGTTCACTGGCTGGATGTTTTTTTCCTGTTTCTTGTGGGAGTTTAGGCTAAGATAGAAAGAAATAATAATATAAAAGCCTGAAAATTACAAGTCAGATAAGACAGGGCTGGACAAACTATGATACTGGTCCAGGTGAGTTTGGTTCACAGTAAACAAACAACTTGGAGAGATGTGACATGTATCACAAAAGAGCATGAAGAGCCTGGCTTGTCTAAGAAATTACCTTGGAGGGCAGATGGAAACCAGAAATGTGCAGAGGTGTTTCTGGGTGCTGAATCGACGAACTCACTTTAACCTTTAAGAAAACGGGGACAGTTTTGAGCAAGGAAATATAGTATGAAAATACAACACAGTAGGATAATTATAAAAAACAAAGTATTTCCCTTGATTCTTAAAGTTAATGAAATCCAATGTTTAAAAAAATATAGAAAAAAGTCTATATATAAAGCAAATGAGCCGGGCTCGGTGGCTCAGCCTGTAATCCCGCGCCTTTGGGAGGCTGAGGTGAGTGGATTGCCTGATCCTGCGGGTTTGAGACCCGCCTGGGCAACGAGACCTCATCTCTACAATAAATCAAAAAGTCAGCCGGGCGTGGTAGCGCGCACCTGTAACTCCAGCTACTTGGAAGGCTGAGGCGAAATGATCGCCGGAGCCCAGTAGGTCGAGGCTGCAGTGGCCAGGAGCGGCCACTGCACTCCAGTCTGGGCGACAAAGTGAGACTCCAACTCAAAAAAAAAGCAAATGACAATATTGTCATTCTGATACCACTAAATAACTACTTCAGGCCTTTTTTTTCCCCCATTATATATACAACTGTAATGAACATTATTATCTGTAGAACTTGAAAGTATTTTAGGTTATATCCTTAGGATAAACGCCTAAGAGTAAAATTGCTAGGTCAAAGCAAACACTGAAAGCTTTTTTTTTATTGAGTTGGAGTCTCACTCTGTCGCCCAGGCTGGAGTGCAGTGGCTGCTCCCGGTCACCGCAGCCTCGACCTGCTGGGCTCCGGCGATCCTTCCACCTCAGCCTTCCGAGTAGCCGGAATTACAGGCATGCGCTACCACGCCCGGCTGATTTTTTGATTTATTGTAGAGATGAGGTCTCACCAAGTTGCCCAGGAGGGTCTCGAACCCGCGGGCTCAGGCAATCCACTCACCTCGGCCTCCCAAAGTGCTGGGATTACAGGCTGAGCCACCGAGCCCAGCTGAAAGCTTTTTATACAAACTAATTCTTGCCAGAAAGGCTGCAGGAAAAAAAATAAAAAGGGCAATTTTTAGAAATCATGGGTTGATGTGTACCAAATGAAAATCCTGCTATCAGCCAGGCAGCTGGCACACGCCTATAATTCCAGCACTTTGGGAGGTCTAGGTGAGAGGATTCCCTGAGCCCACGGGTTCTAGATTAGTCTGGGCAACTTGGCAAGACCTCATCTCTACAATAAATCAAAACATTAGCTGGGCATGGTGGCATGTGTCTATGAATCCAGCTACTTGCAAGGCTGAGGTGAAAGGTTCACCTGAGTCTAGCAGGTCGAGGCTGCGGTGGCACTCCAGCCTGTGCAACAGAGCAAAACTCCAACTCAATAACAAAAAACCCCTGCTACCATGTACCTTATGTTCAAACAGTTCATCATCTCAGAATTTAATTATTCCTTTAACCATTCTGGTAACAAGTAAAAAAATGAATTTTAGCCTTTTAGGATTGAAGGACTCTAATTAGCCTGGATTGAAAACAAATGAGGACAGTACCAGCTAATACAGAAATGTGAGTCTACCATAGTTCTGATGGCTTTAGGCACAGGAGAGTAAGCTATTCTTTGTCAACACTATTGGAAATGAATTACCAGGTTTCCAAAATCCTCTGGTCTGGAAACAGACAATGGAACCCAGGCAGAAATCCACCTGTCTCTTTAACCTAGCCAAGTTGGATAAAACCCTAAAAGCACAAAGTTTCCCACAGTTTTGAAGGTAGCAAGAGTTGGGAAAAAAACTGCAAGCACTTAGTGTTCCTTCTTTTTTACTTCCAGAAAAAATATTAACAAAAACTATATAGATTTTTTTACTCTTTTTGCATTTGCTAAATTTCAAAAACCCTTCCCAAGAAGCTACAGATCAAGAGACTGATTGGATCACTTGAGCCCTGGAGTTCCAATACAAGCCTGTGTAAGACCCCATCTCAAAAAAATAAAAGGGGACTGATACACATTACCAACTGCAATGTATAAACCTTATTTATATTCTGACCCAAAGAAATAAAAACTCTTAACAAGTTTACAAAATAATTAGAAAATGTGAATACTAATTGGATATTTGATAATACTAGGCATTACTATTTTGTATAATAAAATATAAATAAAATATAAATGATGGCTTTGAGGGTTTTTCTTTTTGAGTCAGAGTCTCACTCTGTCACTTAGGCTAGTGTGCAGTGGCACGCTCACAGCCACCACAGCCTCGACCTGCTGAGCTCAGGCGATCCTTCCACCTCAGTCTTCCAAGTCGATGGAACTACAGGCACGCACCTCCAGGCTTGGCTAATTTTTTTTTCTTGATTTATTGTAGAGACAGGGTCTCACCAGGTTGCCTGGGCTGTTCTCAAACCCCTGAGCTCAGGCAATCCTCTCGCCTCAGCCTCCCAAAGTGCTAGGATTACATGCATGAACCACTGTGTCCAAATGAGTTTTTTTTTTTTAAAGTCTTGATCTTTGAGACTCCTTACCAAGACATACCTACCAGTGAAATAATATATGATGTCTGAGTCCAAAATACTTGGGGCTGTGGGTCAGTAGAGGTGAGAACAGACTAGCCATGCAGTAACTATGGAGGTGGGATGATGGGGACACTGGGTCCCTTATTCCCTCTACTTTTTCCCCCTTATCTCCTCAAACTAATTTTTAAACATTTATTTATTATTATATTAAATTCTCTTAAATTATATCCCTTATATTAAATACCCAGTAGTTCCCATAACAAAACTTAAAAATCAAACCCTCTTGATTTACCTTTTCTGGCTCTTGTTTTAGGTGAGACACCCCAACAAATTCTGCTTCCAGCTGGTAGGTGAGGGCAAGCACTTGGATATCTGTAGCAGAGAGACTGGGATAGTCTCCTGTTTTCTTTGAAAACTCCGTCACTGTAAACAAGAGACTTCAGTTACAGGATCAAAGTCATGTGACCTTGGATAATCCCAATGCAAGTATCAAAAGAATGTAAAAAGGAGCAATATCCTATGAAAAACCTTCAACACTTTCATCCATTTCCTGACCTTTGTCTTCTCTGAATTGAGAAATCTGTATTTTCCACCACCAAGATTCATGCCAATTAGGTTACTACAATAGCCTTATCAATGCAAAGGATGAAGCAGAATAGTTAATAGAAAGGTACTGAAAGTTAAATGACATTAGCCAGGTGTGGTGACAATGCCTGTGGTTTCAGCTACTTGGATGGCTAAGGAGGAAGGATTGCCTGAGCCCAGCAGGTTGAAGCTACAGTAGCCGTGAGTGTGCTTCTGCACTCCAGCCTGGGTGACAGAGTGAGACTCTGGTTTGAAAAAAAAAAATAAATAAATAAAATGTTTTGATTCTTAGTATAAACTGCAATCTAGACTGGACACAGTGACTCATGCCTATAGGCCCAGAACTTTAGGAGGCCAAGATGGGAGGGCTGCTTGAGCTCAGGAGCTCAAGATCAGCCTGGGCAATATATCAAGACTTCATCTTTACAAACATTTTCTTTTTTAATTAAAACATTAAAAAAAAATTAGATAGTGCACACCTGTGGTCTCAGCTACTAAGAAGGCTGAGGCAGAAGGATCACCTGAGCCCAGGAGATGGAGGCTGTGGTGGCCGTGAGCAGTTTGCCACTGCACTCCAGCCTGGGTTGTACGAAGTAAGACTCCGACTCAAAAAAAAAAAAAAGCTTCATTAACTCATTTCATTCAAATCCTGGGAAGCACTATTAGTATTTCCTCAGAAAGATTAAGTAACTTGGCAAAGATCACACAGCTGGTAAATTGGTGGAGAAAGCCCTAGAAATCACAAACTAACAGAATAGGTAGTAACACCTCCACTATCAGCCTCCAACCTCTACAACATTTCCAACCACTGAGGGCGTTTTCTGGGGATTATCACCCTGATCCCGAACAAAAACAACGCTGACTCCTAAATCAAAAGGTAACTTTAGTTTTCTTTCCGGTTGAAAACAAGGTCTAAAAGCACCCCTTTTTTGAGTTAAAGTTGACCTCCATATCCAGAACAGTCATCACCCTAATCTACTGAAAATAAATGGACGGGAATAGCAAGCGATCTGGATTGTTCTATTTTAAATTCAAACAAATTTGCTTACAAAGCGCTGGACACGATGCTGACTGCCATGTTCCCCATTTAGTGCTCACAGCAGCCTCGGAGGCAGGTACTATTATTATTCCAATTTTGCGGATGAAGTGACTAAACCCAGGCCCTAGGTTTGGGTAATACCCGAGTGCAAATAGCTAGGAACTGGCAAGGTCTGGCTGACTCCAAACCCAGGACGCCTCTCTTCCACCACGATCTTCTAGAAAGACTGTGTCTGTAAATCAACTGCTGCGACGAACCAGTTCTGACTCGCATCCGAGCAGCTCCCGAATGCACCCCGGGCCCCAGCTACCTCGCCAACGCTAAGGCAGAGGCGCTCACCCAGCCGCACGTATTCCGGGAAGGGCTCCTTGAACCGCAGCTCATAGGGCAGGACTGCGAGTCGCCTGCGCGTGGCCTTGTCCCGAATCTCACCGACCACCTCCTTGACAGTGTAGATGTTCTTCCCGATGTCCTGCGGAGAGACCGACGCAGCTCACATCTGCCCGCACCACGCAACGCTCCGCCCGATTCCACGCACTCCCGCAGGGGCCGCCAGCCCAGACCCGGCTCCTCCCGGCAGGAGTTCCCTGTACCTGCAGAGGCGCATCCTTCAGGAAAGCTCCAGCATCAGCCACAACGTGCTCCACCGGCGCCATCTTGGCTGAATGAGCACGGAGAGCGCATGCGCACGGCGCTTACGGCCAGTCCCTGCGTCCTAATCCAGGCCTCTGGGAGCCAGGAAGAGCAACCGCGATTTAGTGGCGCCCCCTGGCGGCCACGCTCGCATCTCACGGTTCAGGGCTGCCTGCGCGCATGCGCTGCGACTCTGCCGGCCCAGGCAGGGAGGTGTAGACGGGGTGAACTTGGGGAACAGCTGAGAAATGCGCTTCTGCATCCACTTCTTAATGTCTTATGTACTTTTATTTTCCCCCTTTTCCCCATATTTTTAATTCTTATTATTTTTGAGTTGGAGTCTCACTCGGTCGCCCAGGCTGGAGTGCAGTGGTACGCTCACGGCCACCGCAGCCTGGACGTGTTCGGTTCAGGCGAGCCTTCTGCCTCAGCCTTCCAAGTAGCTGGAACTGCAGGCATGCGCTATCACGCCCGGCTAATTTTTTGATTTGTTGTAGAGACGAGGGCTCGCCAAGTTACCCAGCTGGTCTTGAACCCTTGACCTCAGGCAGTCCTCTTGCCTCAGCCTCCCAAAGTGCTGGGATTACAGGTTTGAGCCACTACGCCCAGCCTGAGAACTAATTTATAACAGCTTCAGGTAAAGTGGTATTTTGTTCACTTTCTGGGGGCACCTTACAGTGTATGCATTGGGAGTTGGATCTTGGAGGACACAGGGCAAAGGCATTGAGGTGTGAGAGCCCAAGGAGTGTTCAAGGAGTTGAGGGCAGTGACTAGGGTCCAGAATGGCTGGGGACAGAGTCTCTCAGAGGTAGAGTGAGATCCTGAAATAATTTTATTTTATTTTTTTTTAGTTGGCGTCTCACTCTGTTGCCCAGGCTGGAGTGCAGGGTCATGATCATGACTTACTGCAGCCCTGGCCTGCTGGGCTCAGGCGATCCTTCTGCCTCAGCCTTCCAAGTAACCAGAACTACAGGCATGCACCATCACACCCAGCTACTTTTGTAATTTTTTTTTTTTTGAGTTGGAGTCTCACTCTGTCACCCAGACTGGAGTGCAGTGGCCGCTCCCAGCCACCGCAGCCTCAACCTGCTGGGCTCTGGCGATCCTTCTGCCTCAGCCTTCTAAGTAGCCAGAATTACAGGCGTGCGCTACCACACCTGGCTAATTTTTTAATTTTATTGTAGAGATGAGGTCTTGCCTGCCCAGGCGGGTCTCGAACCCGCGGGCTCAGGCAATCCACTCACCTTAGCCTCCCAAAGGCATGGGATTACAGGCTGAGCCACTGAACCCATCTTAAATTTTTATTATAGAGATGAGGTCTTACTAAATTGCCCAGGCAGGTGTTGAACTCCTGGGTTCAGGCAATTCTCTAGTCTTGGCCTCTCAAAGTACTGGGATTATAGGCATGAGCCACCGCACCTGGCTGCTGAGATGTTTTGAAGCTCCTGGTTTTCTAAAAAGCGAAGAAATCTCGAACACTATTACAAAAATTGTGCCCACTTAAAAAAGTGGACATTAACAAATGAGCACTTTCAGACACGTGTAGGACTCAACATGTAATTCATTTGAATATATGTCAACTTGTACATATAAGGTCCTCTGTGAAAAAGAAAGTTCTTGTTTTTGTGCCAGCGAAGATCTGAGTTCACTTCCAGGACTGGAAAAGGTAGAGGCTATGAAACTATGTGCTTCCTCAGCACTGGGCTAGGTCAGCGAAAAACTCCATGCAGCAGAAATGTTATTCAAGATCAGTCAGTATCCCTAGAATTCCTTTGGGCTTTCATGGAAGTGCCCTGGACTTTACCTTTCTTGACCTTGTTTTTTCTTCTGCCTGAAAATTCTGCTGGTCAATTCTTGTGTAACTGGTCTCTAACAAGCAGCTCAATTGTCTCCTCTTCTGTAAATCGGTCCCTGCTTATCCAAGTCCACTTTCCCCCAAGGACAGACTTGAATTCTTCTTTCTCACCACGCTGTAGGTATTTCGGTTCTGTCACTCAGTGAGCAGTTATTATTTCTGCCTTGCAATGTAATTAATTGTGAGCTTTACTTGCAGTAAGTTAGAAGTCAGGGTGAGCAGGACAGCTAGCATAGCTTAGATATAGATAGTGAGTTTCTTATAGGCAAGCTTAGATAATTAGGAAATCAAATGGTCAGGCATCTGGGCACTCAAAAGTTCTTTGAGACACAGGCAAAATAGAAGTAAAATGTTAAAAGTTGTAACTTGTAATCAAAGGTTATATTTAGAAATAGGTTGTAGCCGGGCTCGGTGGCTCAGCCTGTAATCCCAGCACTTTGGGAGGCTGAGGTGAGTGGATTGCCTGAGCCTGCGGGTTCCAGACCTGCCTGGGTAACTTGGCGAGACCTCATCTCTACAATAAATAAAAAAATTAGCCGGGTGTGGTAGCGCGCGCCTGTAGTTCCAGCTACTCAGATGGCTGAGGCGGAAGGATCGCTGGAGCCCAGCAGGTCGAGGCTGCGGTGGCCGGGAGCGGCCACTGCACTCCAGTCTGGGCGACAGAGTGAGACTCCAACTCAAAAAAAAAAAGAAATAGGTTGTAGACCAGGCGTGGTGGCTCATGCCTATAATCCCGGCACTTTGAGAGGGCGAAGTGAAAGTATTGCCAGAGCCCAAGGGTTCAAGACAAGCCTGGGCAACTTGGTGAGACCTCATCTCTACAATAAATCAAGAAAAATTAGCTGGGCATGGTGGCACACGTATGTAATTCCAGCTACTTGGAAGGCTGAGGCGGAAGGCTCACCTGAGCCTTAGCAGGTTGAGGTTGTGGTGACTTTAAGTGTGCCATTCACTCCAGCCTGGGCGACAGAGGGCGACTCTGATTCAAAAAAAAAGAAAGAAATAGGTTGCTTAACCATCATTTTGGAAATATATAAAGCACTCTGCTAACAGAAAGGGGTGTGTCCTTTTCCTTAAGAACATCTGTATTTGCTCTTGAATGTGTCTTTTTATTTTTTTCTAATTAATAAATGGTACTTTAAGCCAGGTTCGGTGGCTCAGCCTGTTATCCCAGCACTTTGGAAGGCTGAGGTGGGTGAATTGCCTGAACCCGCAGGTTTGAGACCCCCCTGGGCAACTTGGCGAGACCTCATCTCTACAATAAATCAAAAATTAGCCGGATGTGGTAGCACGCGCCTGTAGTTCCAGCTACTCGGAAGGCTGAGGCAGAAGGATTGCCGGAGCCCAGCAGGTTGAGGCTGTGGTGGCCGGGAGCGGCCACTGCACTCTAGTCTGGGTGGCAGAGTGAGACTCTAACTCAAAAAAAAAAAAAAAATGTACTTTAAAATTCTCTCTACGATGCACTCAAATTCTTTTCCATGGCAGAGTCAAAAAATTCACAAAACAACTACACCTGCCATTGAGAGATTGTGTTTTAGGTGTCTTTTCCCTAAAGTAAACGTTTTAATTTACTTTTTTTTTCTAATCAGAATCTCACCCTGTCACTCAGGCTGGAGTAAAGTTGGACAATCATGGTTCACCACAGTCTCGACCTCCTGGACTCAGCCGATACTTCTGCCTCAGTCTTTCGAGTAGATGGGACTATAGATGTGCACCCTCATGCCTGGTTAAGTTTTTGATTTTGTTTGGTTTTTGTTTTGTTTTTTTTTGAGTTGGAGTCTCTGTCACCCAGACTGGAGTGCAGTGGCTGCTCCCGGCCACAACAGCCTTGACCTGCTGGGCTCCGGCAATCCTTCTGCCTCAGCCTTCCAAGTAGCTGGAACTACAGGCGCACGCTACCACGCCCGGCTAATTTTTGACTTATTGTAGAGATGAGGTCTCGCCAAGTTGC